CACGCATTTCTGTGCACGTGCGCACTTCTATTTGCCAATCATCTCACCGGGATTCCCTTACACTCAGCCAATGAGGTGGCAGAGACCCAGGCCAGTCGATACTGTCATTCACATCACTGGATCGCAATGAGGCTCAGGTAAGTATAGAGGGGGCTGGGGCACTGCTGCACACAGAAGATTTTTTACCTTCATGCATAGAATGCATGAAGTTAAAAAAACCTTGAGCCTTCCCATATGGAAGAAAAATATATTTTGAAATATATTTTCAAAATATTCTTCCCAAATATATATTGCCATATATTTGAAATGCTACAATTTTGGCCATATTCAATATATTTCAAAATATATTTCAATGCAGTGTATATATCTATATATAATATATATATATTATATATATATATATATATATACTTCATGTTGAAATGCGTTTTAATTACAAAATATATGAAAAATATTTTTAAAAATACATTTCAAATGTGTCTTTAAAAATACAAAATTTCTGGAATGCATTTACAAATATATATAAAATATATGTTAAAATGACTTTTTTATATGTTAAACAAATCTGAAGAATACATATTTAAAAAATATATTTTTTAAATATATTTTTTTTAAATATATTTTTCAGATTTAAACATATATTGAAGTGTCTGTAAACCCACATGGAAGAAAATATATTTGAAAAATATTCTTCCCAAATATATATTGCCATATATTTGAAATGCTACAATTGTGGCCATATTATATATTATATATATATATACCCATGTATATATATATGTGTGTAAATCTAAAGAATATATTTAAAAAAAAATATTTTTTAAAAATATATTTTTGAAATATATATTCTTCAGATTTGTTTTAACATATAAAAAAAGTCATTTTTTATATATATTTGTAAATGCATTCCAAAAATTTGTATTTTTAAAGACATATTTGAAATGTATTTTTAAAAATATTTTTCATATATTTTGTAATAAAAACGCATTTCAACATGAAGTATATATATATTATATATTATATATATATATATATATATATATATATACATACCGTATTTTCCGGCGTATAAGACGACTGGGTGATAAATCGACCCCCCTACTTTTCCTGTTAAAATATAGGGTTTGGGCTATACTCGCTGTATAAGACTACCCCTCTTCCAACATACACCAAATAAAAATTAAAAAACATCAGATTTGATTTCAATATGGTATGGTATTTCAGTATGGTATTCCAATGATGGGGTGCTATTCCTCGCTCTGACACCAGTGATGGGGCACTATTCCTCCCACTGACACCAATGATGGGGACACTATTCCTCCCACTGACACCAATGATGGTGCCCCATCATTAGTGTCAGTGTGTGAGGAATAGTGTCCCATCATTAGTGTCAGTCGGAAGAATCGTGCCCCATCATTGGTGTCAGTGGGAGGAATAGTGTCCCATCATTGGTGTCAGTGGGATGAATAGTACCCCATCATTGGTGTCAGAGCGCCAAATCGTGCCCCATCATTGGTGTCAGTGGGAGGAATAGCACCCCATCATTGGTGTCAGTGGGAGGAATAGCGCCCCATCATTGGTATCAGTGGGAGGAATAGTGATCCATCATTGGTATCAGTGGGAGGACTAGTGCCCCATCATTAGTATCAGTGGGGGGAATAGTGCCCCATCTTTGGTGTCAGTGGGAGGAATCGTTTTCTGCCCCGTCATTGGTGTCAGTGGGAGGAATAGTGTCCCCACATTGGTGTCAGTGGGAGGAATAGTACCCCATCATTGGTGTCAGTGGGGGAAGGAATAGTGTTCCATCTTGGTGTCAGTGGGGGGTGGAATAGTGCCCCATCGTTGGTGTCAGTGGGGAGGAGGAATAGTGCCCCATCATTGGTGTCAGTGGGGGGGAGGAATAGTGCCCCATCGTTGGTGTCAGTGGGGGGAGGAATAGTGCCCCATTGTTGGTGTCAGTGGGAGGAATAATGCCCCATCATTAGTATCAGTGACACCAATGATGGGGCACAATTCCTCCCACTGACACTAATGACACTTGCTGACCCTTGTTCCAGTATGGTGCTGCTGCAGCCAGCATATGTGGTTGCAGAAGCACCTCTGCACGGCACAGTTACTGGCCGCTCCCTCACTCGATTTTTGCAGGGCCGCTCGGCTCCGCCTCCTCACCGGTGATTGGCCGCCTGTATGCCTTTCCTTAACTACAGTTCTGGTGGCCAATCACCGGTGAGGAGGCAGAGCCGAGCGGCCAAACAATGAAGGAGCAGCCGCGCTTCCTGGACTGGATCGTCGTGGGACTGGGACTGGAGCCAGGTAAGAAACAGCAGCCCCCTGCCCACCCCTGTACTTAGTGTCCCTTCCGTTGGAAGGGGGGAGCGGCGGCAGCACCGTGCCGCCCCCCTAAAAAGTGCCGCCCTGACACCAAGTGTCAGCATGCCGTATACCGGCGTATAAGACGACCCCCGACTTTTGAGAAGATTTTCAAAGGTTAAAAAAAGGTTAAAAAATACGGAATATATATACACTGCATTGAAATATATTTTGAAATATATTGCATATGGCCACAATTGTAGCATTTCAAATATATGGCAATATATTTGGGAAAAATAGTTTTCAAATATATTTTCTTCCATGTGGGTTTACAGACACTTCAATATGGCTGTTAAGACTATTAAATCTCATCTGTAAAAGCTGATGAGAAAAAAATGATTTATACATTCACATTTCCCTGTCACCTGTATCCAACTTCCAGTGTTCAACTGTTATGGGCCCGATCTGTTCTTCCATAGCCTTATTTTACTATTGATACAGTATATTTTTTAAAAAATGAGGATTTGTTTTACTTGCTGTATAAATGTGTTTCTCATATTCCATCTTAGGCTCCCCATTTGCTCCCTTGCATTTCTCGTTGCATTCTTTGTAAATCTGGAATGCCAAGGGTGTCCATTCTACTTTGTACTTTTTAAAGGCTTGTCTTTATCTCACTTATCTGTTTGTTTGTTTGTTTGTTTGTTTGTTTGTTTTACACTAGAATGTAGCCACATGTTGTAGGTGGCAAGCTAAGATTTAGTTATTCAGAAAGAAATGTAAGGTAAAGGATAAGTTCACTTAAAAATAAAATAATAAATTTTTTGGTGGTGCTATGCAGGACTCTGCAGTCTGTTAGTGTATCTGCTTGCCCATACATCCTGGAATTACAAGCTGACAGTTGTAAAGGTTGTCAGGACTTGTAGTTCATTCCCCGTACTGCTGTCACAGTGGGGGCTGGGGGGGTTAGGCAACAGTTGCAGCGGTGGGAACATGCTACATGTGCCACCCTAAAAACAGGTGGAACATGTACCATGTTCCCAAGGTGGACTTATCCTTTAAGATATCCTATAAATAGTTATTTATGTCACATATCTCCTTCTTTTTATGCCCATAAAAACACAATAATCACATTTCAGATTTCATATAACCTGTTAAAGGCCAATTCCAGTTGAATACTGGCTAGTACAGTAGGAGGAGTAATCATTTCTACTGTCCTAGTTTACTAGTCCTTGAACTCTTGCACTTTTCATTACGTTTTCCTGGTGTAGCAATCTTTCTCATGGATATTGATTTGCTCCAAACATTACATAAATCACACAATAAATCACTCACATCATGTGATTCACAGCAAGCTCTTAGGGCTCAAGGCCTCTTCAGGCTTTAGGCATTAGAATATATTTTCATTTTTTTTTTTGTTTTGTTGACCAAAAAGTGCATATATGAATCTATTTCAAGGCAAACATGGAGTTGAATTCAATGCAGGATATACTGTATTCATTATAATGTGTCTATAGGGTTGTGGTTTCAATTGTAAGATTCTTTGGGTCAGGGGCAGATATGAATGTTTTTTTTTGTTCTCAGGAAAACACTGCATCATTATAGAATGTTTAAAAAAATTAGCTGATATAGTAAAGTATATCTGAGGCCCCATCTTTTTTTTGCAAAGGGGAAAGCTTTAAACCCCATCACATTTTAACATTTTATTGCTGTCTATATCTCAGCTGGGGAGATTCACCCCTTTGTTTGGGTGACCATAGTTTCTAGATTAGAAAGTGTTGGGAAATCCAATAATTTACAGCTGTCACTAGAACAGACGGTGGGGCAATCTTTGGAAACCCACCTGGTTCAAAGAGGACTATCTAAAAGAGGAATTTCCTTACTTTAAAGAGATTTATTGTTCATTTCTGTTGTTGTGTATCTAGGACAGGAAGTTAATAGGAAACTAACAGGAATTTTATTTATTATGACTTTACATATTCTTTAAGCTTATTATATATATAAAAAAACAAAAGAAAAGATACATTAACCACTAGCCTACAGGACATTTATACCCCCTTCCTGCCCTACAGGGCACTTATACCCCATTCCTGCCTACAGGCACTTATACCCCCTTCCTGCCTACAGGGCACTTATACCCCCTTCCTGCCTACAGTGCACTTATACCCCCCTTCCTGCCTACAGGGCACTTATACCCCCTTCCTGCCCAGGCCAATTTCCAGCTTTCAGCGCTGTTACACTTTGAATGACAAATTGCGCGATCATGCAACACTGTACCCATATGAAATTTTTATCATTTGTTTGAGACAGATATAGCTTTTTTTGGTGGTATTTAATCACCTCTGGGCTTTTTATTTTTTTCTTAAACAAACCAAAAACCACAGAAAATTTTGAAAAAAACATTTTTTTCTTAGTTTTTGATATAAAATTTTTTAAATAAAGTGATTTTTTCTCCTTCAATGATGTGCGTTAATGAGGTTGCAGTGATGGGCACTGATAAGCTGCACTGATAGACACTGATAGGTGGCACTGATGGGCACTGATGAGGAGGCACTGGTAGGTGGCACTGATGGGCTTTGACAGGCATCACTGATGGGCACTGAAAGGCAGCACTCATATATGGCACTGATATGCGGCACTGACTGGCACTGATAGGCGGCACTGACTGGCACTGATAGGCGACACTGACTGGCACTGTTAGATGGCACTGATAGGCAGCACTGATGGGCACTGATAGGCGGCACTGATGCACACTGATAGGCAGCACTGACTGGCACTGATAGGCGGCACTGATAGGTGACACTGATTGGCAGCACTGATAGGTGGCACTGACTGGCATTGATAGGTGGCACTGACTGGCACTGATGGGTGACTCTGAAAGGCAGCTCAGATGGGCACTGATCTGTGGCATTGATGTGCACGGGTAGGCACTGATATGTGGCATTTATGTGGCACTGATGGGCACTGGCAGGTGGCATGGATGAGGCACTGACAGCTGGCACTGATGGACACTAACAGGTGGCACTGCTGGGGCTACACAAATCATCAGGGCACACTGATCATCAGTGCCCTGATGATCAGTGCACATGTCCCCTCTGAGGAATGCCGATTACCGGTTCTCCTCTCCTCTCGAGCTGTCAGCATGACAGCTCGTGAGGAGAGAAATGTTGATAACCGGCATTTCCCTATTTACATGTGATCAGCTGTGATTGGACACAGCTGATCACATGACCGAGCCGACATCTTTGGCTCTTTCCGTCGTTGATCGGTGATCCGCTGTGTCCGAGGGACACAGCGCACTGCCCGATCACCGTACTGCGCGCTCCCTGAGCCGCTAAATGGGCTAAATGGGAAACCCCCAGAGATAAGCAATGTTTGCGTCACAGAGGGTCATCAGGAGCAGTTGTACGGCACAACATTTAATTCAGGTCCATCCAGAATACATCTGGGTACAGCTGAAAAGGTGCTCCATCAAGTTTCTTTTGTTGCACACATTGCGAGCTTTACACTTTACATTTTTCTTTAATGACATAGG